TGCTTTGGCAGCTTCAAGTATGGCAGCGAGGTGCTGTGCAGAAGTCCCTGTCTCAGGTAGTGTACAGGTAGAGCGTGTGACTGCGATGGGAGATGAAACGTGCCTCAGCCTCTCGTTCAGGTTCTGTTAACTTTTTCTCCAACCATCAAAGATTGTTTGGTGCAGCGGCAGACAAAAAGGAGGTGAAACCGTTAAAAAACATAACAAGTAGGCAAGGAGTTGAAAGTGTTGTCTGTGGGCTTCGAATGAAAAGAAATACCACTTTTTTAAAAGAGAACTGCCGTTGCACCAGTGTCTTAGCAACTGCTAATTTAAATATGAGACTGCACGGTTTATGTCTCTTTCAGAGTGTGAGGAAATCTGTGGTGGTGAGGTTTATTTTCTTCCTTTACTTGGAAGCCATATGTTTGTTTCACCTCCTACTGGGAAATTGGAAAAGATGGAAACATTCAGATAGAAACAGATGGAGGGTCTTTCAGGACTAACAGCAAGTGCAGATGACAAAGTAGAAAATCTTTAAAAAGAGATGTTCACTTTGTGTTTCTCTTTATTGTTCAGCGAACAGTGGAAGATGGGAACGGATAAGAAGAACCAAAAGATGGCACATCTAGAATCTGTCTGCAAAAAACAACTGCAACACCAACCCCCCGGTTCTCTCTGGTTAAAAGGTTGAATTTTGTTTGGTACTGTTCTAACGATTTCTTTCACAGAAATCCTGAAGCAGTCAATACACATTATGCAGCCAGTGTTTTAAAAATGAAACAGGCTGAAAGTGGGGAAAATAAGAATCACAACAGCCAGGGAAACTTTTTAGAGGAAAACAAAAAATAAAAAAGGACTGTACTTGTACAGCGTCTTTCTATCTTATCAAGATACTCAATGTGCTTTACAACACAATCTGTGCCTCATTTACCCATTCATACAGCACTCTACTAGATCTATACAAAGACTAATCAGAGCTTTATCACATTCATACACTGATGGGACACACGTCAGAGGCAATGAGGGGTTCAGTGTCTTGCCCAGGGACACTTCAGCATGTGACTGCTGGTGGAATTGAACCCCCAACTCTCCCACTGGAGGATGACCGATCTAACCACTCAGCCACAGTTTCCCCCAAAAGGAGTAATGAACAAAGACAAATAAAACATGAAGTGGACATTGTATGAGTTGTACCTCAGGTTCAGACTAATGATGTCAGAAGTCTATAAATGTGACTGTTTTGTGATTCTGTAAAGTACCCCATAGACAAGGGTTTTACTGTAACAGTACTTGCATTTGTAAAGAAATTCTTTGGTATGCATCAATATGTACCGGTATGTGTACTGAACTAATAAAGCCATGCTGATAAACCCAACTATATCTGAGCACATTTGTTTCACAGCAGGAATGATGTATTAGTGGTACAAGTAGGAAAAGAAAAACTATAGTACGAGCTCTGCTGCTCATGGCATTCATGCAACCCATGGCTAGCAGTTCAAACACAGACCAAGAAAAAGTAACAGCAACATGCAACCATACTCCATTCCTGATAACATAAGTTTAAAAAGGTGCTGAAAGTAATAGAGCACTGTTACTGGATGTAACTGGGATCCTGTGCACATAATTTCGTTCCACCACATGTACCACATGGGGTGCGAATGACAAAGAACCTTGAATCCTTGAAACCTTGACCTTACTAAATATACACTTGTGTACATTTAGATAGCAGTATACATTCTAGCACTTTGATGAGCAAGAACAAGCTATAGTTGCCCACAACTCATCCAAGACTTCTCCTGTTCATGTCACAAATGATGGATGAACATCCAGGCCTTCCGGGAGTTAATTATTAGTAACTGTGCACAACATCACAACTGATCTGAAGCTAAAAAGCTTTGGTATGCAAACACGCAAAGCTCACATCTGGTAGAGCAACTCCAGGAGACTGTGTTAGGAAGGGAATTAAAAAGACCAAAAAGCACAACTTTGTGTCACAGCAGTCACCTCTAGAATAATATGGTATCTAAAAATCTTTCTGAAAATTGTATCAAACTGGCTTCAAAGCAAAGGCTCAAACATGATTTTGTGTAGTTACACATAGCAAAGTCTCTGGCATCGAATACTTTTTAACTTGAAAAAACTTCTTTTTTTAATTAATGAGCCTACTCATTAGCTAATCACTGCTAAGTTTGACTTGTTTTCGACATGATGGATTACAGACGAGGTGAGGCATTGGCTCCCATCTGACACAATCAGACTGGACCAGACAGAAATCCAGCAGAAAAGAGCAGGCTGGGTTAATAAGTGTTGAGAAGCAGAGGAAAACTAGCATTAACAAGTTGGGGAGCAGGTGTGTCCTCATATACATGTTTGTGAGACTGAAAAAACTTCCAAAGCTAGTTTCAGTAAGAGTTTTAGACAAATTTTTGGGCAAGTTATTTAAGCTGCTTTTTCTTTCTTTCTTTTTTCGGCTGCTCCCCTCGTCAGGGGTCGCCACAGCGAACTAACTCGCATGAAGACATGGCAATTATTTTTACGCTGGATGCCCTTCCTGACACAACCAGACCACCGAGCTACCACAGCCCACTGTGTGGAGCAGAGCGCTGCCATCTAGGGAGTCTGGGGAGGGGGCATGTGGTGGGAGTTAAGGGCCGTATTTAAGGGCCCAGAGTGGAGCAAATGAGGGAAGACATTTTGATGTTGTCGGTCGAGGGGTCGAGCTGGCAACCATCTGATCACAGGCTTGCCTTCTCTATTCTCTGCACCACCACTCCCCCAGAAGGGATAATTAATTTAGATCAGTAAATATTGATATGTATGAACTTTGCCCTACATGACTTCAAACTGTTCTCTGGTCTAAACTAAGAGTTTATAAAACTTTTTTAAACAGAACATAAATACACACATCTACGATATGGCAATATTATAAACATTAAACATCATTAGTTTCGTATGTTCAAATTGGAGGGGTTCATCTCAGCAGTTGTTCAGCATTACTGACAATGTGTTGAAACAACAACAACAAAAAAAGCATAGCATGTGCCTCTGATCAGGATAAAGACTTACGGTAAATATCCTGATTCATGCTCAATAATCCAGGTAGAACAATCCAACAAAGTTGGAGGGCTTACCCATCACATAGTGGGTCAACCAGTTGCTAGTTAATAGAAGGTGCTATTTATAAGACTTGAGTTTGCTGTGTCTCCTTGGACTGATGAAGTCTTTTGGATGAAAGACGAAACATTTAAACAAAAACAAACCATCCAGAGGACCTGACTTAACTTTGTTGGACTTATGGTAAATGTACTGAAAATAACCTCCTTGATTGGAGAAGGTTGCAGGTATTAACAAGTACCGGTACATCTTTGAAACATTTGTCAGTCAGATTGTTTGTGTTAACTCATTTCCCAGCAGGCCAATGCATCACTGTAGAATATGGTCCTGATGTCTCATGTGGCTTAACAGTGAAGCTTGGCCATTGCAAATTTTGCCAAACCAGACAGAATATGATGACAACACAGGATCCCTTACTGTTTATTGGCTAAAAAAAGCACTGTTACCATTAAAAACACTAAAACAGCTTGATTACTCCCACCTATTGGTAGATGTGACAATTTGTTAGTACTTAATGCCAGTAAATGATGACAAAACAAGGGCTTACCAAGACATTACTCACAGTACACTACCATGTCTGTATATCCTAATGAACATTTGTTACTCTTTTCAAGAGCGATCATAAAGGAACAAAAGAATAATCAGGGTCTGCAGTGATGTGTCATTGTACAGTCTGTTGTACATTTACCAGTTAATGTATGTTCACACACAACCTACCATTGTCTTGAGTTACGCTTAATGACCGAAGGAATAAGGCAGCAAATACAATCAACCTTTATTTAGACAGGTAAATCCCATTGAGCCTCGAGGACTCATTTACAAGAGAGACCTGATTTCAACAAAGAAAGATGACAACAATGGACAACAGCAACAACAATAAGCAGTTATAAAAACTCATACTACAGTTTTTTTTGTTTTTGTTTTTGTTTTTTTTAACAAATAGGATGGCTAAAAGGAAAAAGGTAACAAACAGCTGAACTGAGCTTATTCTGGCTATATTCACCTTCAGGAAAAGGATGAGGAGTTCAGCTGAAGGAGTGTACTGCTTAGTGGGGAAAACAGTTTACTTGGGACTTCTCAGACTGATGAAGCCCTCTGGATAGAGGGTGAAACATCTTTCCACAAAAAATAAACTGTCCAGATGACCTGATTGACCATTATTAGATCAGAGTATGGCTCCTTTGCATTTAAAGGAGCCAGTGTGTGGCTGCGGTAGCTTGGCGGTCAGTGCCGTGGTCTTGTAATCCTAAAGTTGCTGGTTCGAGCCCAGGTTGTGTCAGGAAGGGCATCTGTCATAAAACATTTGCCATATCTTTCATGCAAGCTGACTTGTTGTGGCATGCACTGAACAAGGGAGTAGCTGAAAGAAACGTACTAATTAAGACAGTGTGGGTATCAAGAAAGTTTGACTTCTGGACAACTTGGTGTTTTGGTCCTACCAAGAAGAGGTTTCAGGATAAAGACATGATTTGCTTAAGAGATTATTTCTTATGTTAAAGTCTTAGAGTGGCCCTGAACTAAAAGGAAATGGTAAGTGCAGAGGTCTGAGGACCTCTTCTTCAGCTGTTGTCCCCACTTCCAAATTATTGACATGGAAAAAAAAAAGATTAATAAATTGTTCATTCCTAATAGGCATCTCACTTTAGTGTAGCATCCAGTGAACAAAAGAGCCAAGGATTTCCCTCAAGCGTTTGTTAAATGTCAGAGCTAGACCGAGAATTAACAATGGACCAGAACAAGTCAAGACTTTTGGGAAAGTATCTGTGTAAGTACATATTGTGAATGTGCTTGTTTTAAACCTTCACTGCAAAAAAGAAAGAAAAAAAAGAAACTAGATGTCTTGTTAAATACAACAAAGCCAAACAGCACTGGGGAAAATAAAAGACTAGTAATAAAAGAAATACCTGTAGCTTGTCTTCTCCGTTCCTAGCCAGGCTACGACAGGCCGAGTCCAGTTCTTTGCCCAAAGACGAAAGGATGGTTTCTTGCTCTGCTTCCAGCTGCAGCACCTTCTGGTCAAGTCTCACAATTTCAGACTCAGATGCTCGTCTCAGTTCACTTGACCTGGTCTGATGACAACAGCAGCATGGGGAACAAACTTTTTGAGATGTTTGGTCATGTAGTTTGCAGCTTACAAAATGTTGGGTTAAAAAAAGTTTGAACGAAAAAAAAGTTGATTGGATAATAAAAGTTCAACTTTTACAGTTACTACAAAAACAATACTTATCCTTAGAGAGCCATTCTAATTTAGTTTAAACAAACATTATTTCCTGTTCTGGTCAAGACTGACAAAAATATCGGAAAAACGAAGACAATTGATGCATCAGAGGACAGGAACCTGGCGAACCTGCTTGTGGTCTATAAATCATTATCTCCTCACTGAGATAATAAACTGTGTTTTATTAATAGGAACCAGGTTTTTTTTTTCACTCAACCATTTTCAAATCAATACGTGGCTCTTCTGAAAAAGCCACATACAATTTATCAGGGGTCTGTAGGAGTGATGAACTGGACTTAATACTTCACACCTTTATACTATTTAGAAGAAAAAAAATTATGCTGATGCGGTGCTACTTAAAATTTTTTATAGAACACGTTTAAAAACAACTACCAATGGCCAAAGTTCTGCAAACAAAACAATAAATAGTAAAACAATAATACCAAACACAAGAGACCTTGAAAACAACACAAATAAAAGCAAAAAAAAAAATAAGTTGAGACAGAAAAGAACATAAAAATTAAGCAAAAAAATGTAAACTCGTGCAGTATTACAAACCAGTGAGTACAAATGTGTTTTAAGGTGAGACATAAAAACACCAACAGTTGAAGCCTGGCAGATATAAAAGGACAGCTGGTTCTGTAGTTTAGGAGCTACAGCTGAAAAGACCTGATCACCTCGGTGGACCAGCCTGGACCTGCCACGCCCACTTCCCCGCCGCTATCAGCACTCATGCTCTGCACCTGCTGCTCTTTATAAGAGCTCCATCCACGCAAGATCTCTGCCGGATTATTGGGCACTTTTGCTAGTAGATGGCCAACCATCTTCCATGTCCAAGCCTGTTCTTTTTGTCTAGACTTCACGCCTGTTTCTTGGATTTGCGTCTTGTCGAGAAGGGGTTCTCTGCAGGCCAAAAGTGGACGTTTCTGGAGAATAGGTGTTTGTGGGGGGCAAACACTGATTAGTTAGCTGTATTTGCTGCTCTTTAGGTAAGTCATGTCAGCTCTTTTTTAAAACTGAAGGTTTTTAAGAAACATCATTATATCTGCTGTCAAACACAAGAAGATTATATATCTTTTGTTCTTGGGTTGTAGGCTGCACCTGACACAGGTTACCTTGAGTGTGGTCTGGGTACAATGAAATATGAAGCATCTGAAGTGAAACTTGCTCCCATTTGTCAAAAAGCCTGGTCTCAATTAAAGATCATGAGTCCTGTAACGAGATAATGCCCAAAACAAAAGCTAAAAACAAAATTTCCGAATTTGTCTGCAGAGATACCTACTTGGTTCTGTCTGCCCCACGTCTGCTTTATTTGGCCTTTCTGACCCTGGTAACTATGACCCTTCTTTGCTTTTCAGATTTTGGATTAAGGATTCTCCTCTGAATTTGTTCTCGGACCTCTGCCTCCACGTGTTTGACCCCTGCTTCTCTTTTCGGACCACGATTAAAGTTTGCCCCACTGTCAGATCAACTCACAGCTAGGCCTGTCACAATAACAAATTTTGCTGGGTGATTAATTGTCTCAGAAATAATTGCTATAAACGATAATATTGTTTGAAATTTGACAATTATTAGCAATTATTGTCAAATTTAAGAAGAAATGTTGGTTTATTTTTGTGTGTAGCACCTTTTTCTGACCACTGGATGGCAGTATAAGACTGTTTGAACTGAATGATGGATAGTGAGGGAGTGAACAGCGTCTCTCTTTAAGAAAAATGGGAGGGAGGCCCCTTGATGTGACATGGGCTGTCTCATTCCTGTTTTTCTGTTCTTAAAATGGCAGATGTTCGGTTTAGTTTTAGCTCTTTAGAATAGCATTTGTTACAGAAAGCTTTTAATAAAAATAAAAAAAATCAGTAAACAAGTCTTCAGTTTCTTTTTGCAGAGAAAAACAACTTTTTACACGAAGGCAGAACCATGAATTCTGGAGCTTCGACAAGACAGAGTTTTTTTTCCCCCTGAGGTCAGCCTGTTAGCTTAGCTCATAGCTTAGCTTCTCAGCTTAGCTGCTTTTAACAATTCAAAAACACAATTTTGGACGGTTACAACAGATTGTAAAGAGAAAAGAGAAAGGGAGTGGTCAGTGAAGAGCACCAGAGATGAGCCTTTTGTCATCCAGTGATTTCAGTAGAAAGAGAGAGACACGAAGAAACGATAAAGCCGATAAATGAAAAGGAGGTTGATGATTTTCATTTATCATGCGATTAATCGATTTATTGTTTATCGTGACAGGCCTACTCACAGCATTAAAGGCCTCCCTCTCCAGCTGCTCGTCCACCACTTACGGTGACATCACTACCATCACTGACACGTCTCCTCAAGCTCTAAAAGGTGGCTCTACATCTTGCCTCACCTGCCTGAGAAGATTAGTGGATGTTTTCTGCCCTTGAGCACATTTCCTGAAACCTACAGCCCACTAACTGTGCGGTCTCTGCAGACCTGTTCCCATCATTGGATTCAGACTCCCACCAGCAGCTTAAAAACAATAAAACTGTTTAAACGTTCTTGGTGGCTGGCTGAACTCTTGAATCCAAAACCAGGTTCTTGTCAACATAAGGGATCTTGAGGGCACATCAGGCTGCAGGAGGTCAGACAGGTTTACAGGAGTCTGTCCATTCAGAGTCTTATAGGTCAACAATGAAACTTTAAAATGAATTTAAAGCCATCAGGGAGTCGATGAAGGGAAGCGAGCTCTGGGGAGATCTGTTTGAGATAAAAGATGAGCTGCAGTGTTCTGAACTAACAATACAACTGGGAGGTAAAAAAAAGTGTGAACCATTATTAATAAAAATTATAATAAAAATGATCTCTTTACTATGATTTATTTTGATTCTCAAAGTTAAAATTTAAATAAAATATTACCCCACCCCACCCTTTTTTTTAAACATGAGATTTCCAAATGGCTCCAAGGTACTCAAATCTGTAGGGAAAAGTCCTGCTGGTTCCACTAGGAGCAAAAATAAAAACTTGAGTTTTATTCTCATAGAAATTTAGGAGCTTTGAATCCATCCAAGCTTTGACCTCAGTAAGGCAGTCAAACAATGGCTTTAGTGAAAAGGAATGGTCTACTAAAGGTAGCGCTTAGTGTCGTGTTAGTAGGAATGAAAAAGATATTAGGATGGACGATGTTATCTGCATGGTATCGGCCGATATTAGCGTTAAAGTTCAATATCGGACATCGGCCATTCCATCAAAATAACTTGTTGATACAAAAGACGCTGTTGTTGAATGACAACCCAGTGACAAGGATGTCTGCAGCGGCAGTACAACGTGATGATTTCACGTGCACCTACCTGAACTCACGACGGAGAGGAAAATTCAAAATGTCTTCGGAGTGGAAGTTATATTTTTCGTTGGTGAGGATGTCGGATTCCGAAGGTTTTTGGACTATGTTGAGCCTCTCTACATCATCCCCAGTCGGAGATATTTTTCCGATGTAGCCTTATCCGAGTTACAAGCCGTCATTTCCGACGTCATCAGGAAGCTAATAGCCGATAGCACTTGGGTGAGTTTTACCACAGACATTTAGACGCCGTGTTAGCCCCGTTAGCATGATTAGTCTTTCGGCACAATGGATAGACAAAAACTTTGATCTTAAGAAGTCTGTCCTTCATGCACAGGAGTGCAGAGGATCCTGCACTGCAGCTAAGAACCTGGAACAAGCCTCCACAAGTGAGACAGCATCACAGGTGACTCATGCTAATAAATAACATTTAACACTTTTCATTTAATATAAGTTGAAGTGCTATGCATATCATATGGCTGTTACTGAATATATGTCACCAGCTCTTACAGCTGTTGCACATTTTTTGTAGCAAATAAGCCTAAATAAGAGAGATATGTTCTGACAAAGGAACATATATAAAATGTCGGTATCGGTTATCAGCCAAATAAGTTTTAACATATCAGCATCTCGGATATTGGCCAAAAATCCAATATCGTGCATCCCTAAAAGATATGTTACAATTACCTAAAGATGGAGCCTAGAGGGGGCATGTAAATAGAAAATAAAACAGGTACCCACCTTTAAAAAAAACTCCTAGGTTTGTATCATTACTGGATTCTAACATATCTTAAATTATAAGGCTAGAGGGAGATAAGACTCGTTATAAAGTCAGTACAGTTGTACTGCTGACACAACAAAATAAACAGATACTGCTGGAATATCTTTCTAAAAACTGAAAATGGACTGCAAACATAAATACAATGAAATGAAACACCCCGCCTGACTACACATCGTCAAATGGATTGTGTTTTTGTTTAGCTGCTAGATACAATAACGCTAAAACTTAATGCTGCAATTCAAAAACGGCACAGTGAATGAAGTTCATGCTGCAGTTTACTACACTGTGTACTTAAGACACTTAATAGAGTGAATCATATTGTATGACATTATGTTCTGTGCTTGCAGACTCGTTGAACCATCTCTGTCACTCTAATCAGCATAAACAGCTTGGAACAGCAACCAAACGTCTGCATTTATAATCTGCCTGGTAATGACAGTCATTACAGCAGGAAAACATGGCAAAAGATTTTAGACTTACTTTATCTTCCAGTTCCTGTTTAAGTTGCTGGTATTTTCTGTGCAGAAGTGAATGGGCCTCTTCTTTGGTGCACAGCTGTGCTGCCAGCTTATCGCACTCATTCTTCATCTTGTCCAACTTGACGTGCAGCGCCGCACACAGCTCCTTGTCCGACGCTGCATCGGCCTGATTATGGAGTATAGATAAACATGGAATAATTTCAGATCAAAGCTGCTGAATTATTTAGAACAAAATGCTGAACTTAAAAAAATCAGTTTTTTTTTACTTTTATTTTTAATACATGTTTTGTGTGATGTTTATATTTAATATTTTATTAACTTACTATGGCATTTTCTCATGACTGAAATGGTGTTTCCTCAGTTCCTTCTGTTGCTACAGATTAGTTATCTTTGTTCAAACTTCAACAACATATTGCTGTTAATGATTTTGTTTGTGATTTTCTATTGTTATTTGTTTGTCGTTTATCTTTTTTAAGATTTTTGATTTTATCCAGTGTAAAACACTTTGTGTTACACTATGGGCATAAAAATGCTTCATAAATAAATCAGATTAATTGATTTATTGTCTCAACTTGAAATAAGATTGATTAATAAAGTATTCATAGCACCACCCCATCTGCATTTTGTTGCCATTAAACCAGGAATAAATAAATACAAATTGGGGAGGGGGAATTACCATAATTAGTTTTAATTGACACAACCTAACTTCCATTTATTTCCCCAAGTTGGAATCAGCCTCCCCACCATCACAGACATCTACACCTCCAGATGCAGGAAGAGGGCCACCAGCATCATGAAGGACCCCACTCACCCAGCACACACACTTTTTGCCCCACTCCCCTCAGGAAGGAGGTTGAGGGGCATTAAGTGTAGAACCACTAGACTGAGGAACAGCTTCTACCCTGAGGCTGTTAGACTCATGAATCTCTAACTAGAATAATCACTGTGAAAAACCATATCATGTTGCTGCTGATCTGTTTCATGTTGCTGCTGATCTGTTTCAATGTTGATGTGTTCATGCGTGCACATCTGCTCACAGACTCATGTTCATGTTTGTCCTGATGTTCAATGTTTTTATGTTATGAGTGCTTAGTGTATATTTAGTTGATGTTTTTCTTAGTTCATATCTTAGATGTTATTACTGTTTTTCTTAGTCATTTTATTGTTGGATGTAACTGGGACCCTGTGTACATAATTTTGCTCCACCACATGTACCACATGAGGTGCGAATGACAATAAAGAAACTCTGACTCTCTCTGACTCTGACTCAATAATTTCCATTCCATTTTTTTCTTGCTTGCTCTCGGTGTAAGGCAGACGCATCCTCCTCTGCTCCGTCCCTCACCCGTCGCTGCTTTGCTCTTTGTCTTGTGAACCTTTTTTGGAGTCCCTTTTTTTTCATACCTTCCAAATTGTTTAACGATGGATTTGATCAGCTGGTCGCTCAACGAAATTAATCAATTTCTCTCTACAGGCAGTCAGGGTGAAGGAGTACCCTCTTACCTCAACAGAAACATAATTGGATCTATGATAACTGGATTTTACAGTTTGGAGTTAGTGGATTCTCGACAAATTTGAAAACATCAGCAGCTGTTTAAGCTGCCTAGAATGTCGAGAATATACCGAGCTTGGCAACACTCAAGACTGTGCATATGTGGTGCTGTTGGCAGTTTCCACGTACGGTTGGAAGGAATAAATCTTGGAGAAGTTGTAAGCTCGACTTCAGCGTAAATAATCAAATTTGGCTGTTTGGAGTCGCCATGAGAGAGTTTACTAGCGAGACTATGAAGGCAGACACGGAAATTTACGAGTTCAGCCTGACCCAAAAACAATGTTGATATCTGAATCTGGACCTGGCTTTGGAAGGTCGACTATCTCATATTTCTCCTGGGATGTTATGGAAACAAAGACACTCTGTCCCCCTCCCCGCCCATCCCTTCCCCAAGGTCGTGGACCTGTGACAGAGCTCAACTGAGCTGGCTGATAAACGAACACCTCTTATCAGGCTCTGGACTGTGCTGCATAGAACTTCCATAGAACTCAATGCCTCCACTGATCTCCCTCAACTCCCCCGGTGCTGCAACCTAGGATATGCGAAGGCGCCAAGGGCTGTGTCGTTCACCTGGCGGCCGTGCTGGGAGAAACCACCCCCTACCCACTCCACACGCATATGTATTATGTCTATTTATTTGGCTTTGCTGTGGTAAAATTATTATTTTTTTCAAACCGTGCCCTATCTAGGATACGGTGTGAGAGATCTTTTTTAATACCGCTCTCCTCCTGTTTTTTCTTCCCTTTTCTTATCTAAGCAACAGAGGCAGCACATTTTAGAAGCTACAGCCCCCTGTACACTTCTATCCATCTTTAGGACAGCTGTACGGAAAGTAATTTCATTGTACTTTACTGCGCAAGGATAATAAAAGCATTCTGATTCTGATTTAAAAATGCAAAGTATGTATTATCAACCAAACAAGAAATTACACCAAAAACATACTTTTTTTTTATTTTCTTTGGGCTCCAACAATTTTCAGTCAGGTCATCTGGACAGTTTCTTTTTTTTTTTTGTGCTGAAACGTTTCACCTTCCATCCAAAAGACTTCATCAGTCAAGGAAACACACAACACAAAACTGATTCTTCCCCCAACATCTTACTCCAAAGTGGAACAAACCAGTTATGTTGGTGCTAAGACGGTCTCTTTGGCATGCCCAAAAAACATATACCTGGATTATTGAGCATGAACCAGTTTGACATGACTGTCGACAAGGAAGAGGGCCGGCACCGGAGGAGGGGGTTTGTTCCACTTTAGAGTAAGCTGTTGGGGAAAGAATTAGTTTTATGTTGTGTGTTTCCTTAACTGATGAAGCCTTCTGGATGGAAGGTGAAACATTTCAGCATTAAAAATAGAAACTGTCCAAATGACTTGACTGAAAATTGTTGGATTTTATACCTGGATTATTGAGCATGGACTTTGTTGGTTTTCTTTGGGCTGTTCCCTTTTCAGGGGTCTCCACAGTGAGTCCTCCTCCTCCACTTCACTCTGTCCTCTGCATCCTCTGTCCTCATTCCAACTACCTCCATGTCCTCTCTAACTGCATCCATATATCTCCCCTTTGTCTTTTTCCTGACAGCTGCGTTTCTAACATCTACCAGTATACCCACTGTCCCTCCTCTGGACATGTCCAAACCATCTCAGTCTGGCCTCTCTAACTTCATCTCCCAGTTGTTCAGCCTGTGCTGTACCTCTGATGATCTCATTCCTAATCTTATCCATCCTGGTCACTCCGAAGGAACCTCAACATCTTCAGTTCTGCCACTTCCAGTTCTTTCTCCTCTCACTGTCTCCAGACCATACAACATAGCTGGTCTCAACTACCTTGTAAACCTTTCCTTTGACCTTGCTGCCGCTTTTTTTTTTTTTTTTCACAAAACACTCCTGAAACTTTTTTCTCCATCCACTCCATCCTACCTGACCTCATCCGTAAGTCTATCACCATAAGACATGAGCATACAAAAATACTCAGGACTATTTAAGGACATTAAACAGTTTCTCCTTAAGCCATCAGAGTGTTGCTTCAGCAGTGTTTAGAGCGGTTGTCCTGCTGGAAGTTGAACCTCTGTCTCGTCTCAAACCTCTGGAAGACTCAAACAGGTTTCCTTTCAAATAATTTCCCTACCTTTTACTCCCTCCATTTTTAATTCAATTCTAAAGTTTCCAAGTTCCTGCTAAAGAAAAACATATCCTTGACATGATGTTCTCCTCCTAGATGTCTCTGCGTGAGTGCAGCTACGGAGTGCGCTCTCAGAACATTATTACCTGCAGTGTTCCCTCAATGAGGACTGAACTAGGCAAAAGGGCCTTCTCCTATTCTGCTCCTGTTTCCTGGAATATCTTAGAAAAAGATTTGAAGCTCTCGACCTTGACCTCTCTAAGTCTTTAAGAATCTGTTGGACACCTGGCAGGGTCCAATGCTGACATGTTCCTGTTGTTAGTTTTCTACATTTGTCTTGGAATCTAGCTGTTTTTTGTTTTGTTACCTTTTCCTTTTAGCCATCCTATTTGTTAAAAAAAAAAAAAAAAACTGTAGTATGCTTTTTAATTGTTTATTGTTGTTGCTGTTGTCCATTGTTGTCATCTTTCTTTGTTGAAATCAGGTCTCTCTTGTAAATGAGTCCTCGAGGCTCAATGGGATTTACCTGTATAAATAAAGGTTGATTGATGTTGCCACCACCATGCTCTGCTGTTTTTAGTTTGATGTGGTTTGTTAGATTTGCATCAGATATGTCCAAAAAAATATGTTATGCATCATCTGACCAGAGCACCTTCTTCCAGGTTTGGTGTGTCCCAATATGCCTTTAGATACATCTCTAACATTCTGCCTTATTTTTAGATTTAAGCTGGGGTTTTTTCCTGCCACTCTTCCATGAATCCCAGCTCTGTGCAGCTCAAACTTACAAATACTGTCATCTCTGCAGAACAGCTGCTCAGCTCCATCACGTTTATTTTAGCCCTTTTGGTTATTTTCTGATTAATGCCCTTCTTACTTGTTCTGTAAGTTTAGGTAAATGACCTTCACTTGGTAGGTTTTCAGTGTTGACGTAATTTTTCCTTTTCCTAATTTAATGGAGCTCAATGGGATTTCTAGGGTGCACGCATATGAATGAACTACTTTTTTATATGCTTTTTAGAACTGTATTACTGTGTCCACCATTTAACCCCAATAATGCAGAGTCTTTTCTGTAAGCTTATTATCTTTAATCCACTTGAAAGTTCAATTCAATTTGAGACTGTAAGGCAAGAAAACGAAGAATACCAACAGGAGTGAATACATTGTGGGTGGCAATTTTAGTTCATTTAAATACTGACAATAGCATGTCAGAGTAAACAGACTTGCTACTTAATTAACATAAACTTAGCTAAACATGGTATGACAAATGTACCAGAAGGCTTTCTAATCATCTGTCAGTGATCTTCCAAGTGTGACACATACAGGACTTTGTCCTCTTCAAACAGACATCATTAGGAATTTGGTTAAGAAAACTAATTTAAGATCCGTTATAATTTGTGATCAGAACGAAACGGGTGGTTTACGCCGATCCGAAACCCGATCGGTGCGCATGTAAACACTTGATCTGTTCGTTTTTATCTGATGGTGAAAAACTGACCTGACTGCGCATGTGCGACTTTGCCATTTCCGCCTGGCTAACGCTAATAATATTAGCATGTCAGGGAAGTAAAACTGGTCGGTGAGCGACACAACATTTCTACTAGAAACTTTGAAAGAGCTCAAAATGATTTCTATTACCTGTAGCTCAGTCAGGGAGTGCAATAACGTCTCCACCATCATTAAAACCTGTTGCGGGTCCATTTTGGGTGCTCAGGTTTGTTTACGTTCACCCGGAAGTAGAACTTCTTCTTCGGTGTTTTTTTTAAGGAGAGTTTACCACTCTGCGCATGTCAGTACTGCTGTTCAGAACAAAGCCCGCTGCATGTAAACGCTCGTCATGAACAGATTGTGCCCATGTAAACAACACATTTGAATTATTCAAGCAGAACACATTTCAATCCGGTCAAAGATTTCTGCGCATGTAAACATAGCTAGTGTCAGCCTTTTACACCATGTCCATCAGCATCTGGGACAGCTCACAGAAACACTCTTCAAATATTAGAGTTTTGTCCATAACAGTAACGATCTCACACACTTACAATTATCAAAACATAATAAAGTGCAACGAAAAAACTATGAGTTAGAACTAGAAGAGACAGAAGCGTCACAAACAAAGAAGAAAATAAAACAGAGGCTGTAAGTGAAATGCAAATTGGAACTGAAGGGAAGGAGAAAGAAAGGGATTAAAACAGAACTAGACAGCAAGAGGGAAGACAAGGAGGAAAAGAAATGAAGAGTGATAGGACAGAGAAAATTAGAATATTTTAGGCCGTCTTACAGTCGACTGTATCACAATTGCAATACAGGCTTCCAGCTATGCTGAATGAATACTGGGTGGGCTTCTATGGGACATCTGCTGCAGCCTTGGGCGAGTATTTAAAAGCATTTCAGCAAACGTCCTTGTCCCTTCTGCACTTGGAAATGACACCATTACAATGAGCTATGTCAGATATTAATGCCATTCAGCACAGCTAATGGGCTAAACTCTACCATATCGGGAGGACAGTGCCCCCCCAAAAACAGACTACCCAGGAGGGCTAATCATTTGAAATGTTGGAGGAAGGGAAGAGGAGGGAGAAAGTTAAGAGAAACCCCCGATCTCCAAGCACAGCCTTGATGAGACTTTTGTGATTTTGATACGAAGAGTTTTAGAGCCGTGAAGATTCTCGGGTCACCACATACCATTAGGAGCTCAGCAGTCCTCCGTTTTCTTGTACTCGGGGGACAAAACCCAGACCAATGGAGAAAATTACTCTGAATGATAATTTCTTCCGTCTCTCACTGGGTCGGAAATATCCCAGATGTTTAGTGGCTGATGCAAGTTAGCTTTAGCCAAATATGAGGTGAGAGTCAGTGATTCCTCTAAACACCAATTAAAGTGCGGGAACTCTTCGACCCATGCTGGGAAAGACTTTCTACAGCAGGTTTATGACTTTGAACATGTAAGATTTAACAAATTTAAAAAGTGTGTGACACCTGAAATATGATCAAGAGATCAGCCGTGCTTTGGAGAAAGAGCTTCAAAGACTAAAAGTAATTTGAACAGTTCATGTTATACTTGTGATTTTTTTCCAACAAGAGGCAGATAACAAGATTACCATAATTTCTGGACTATAAGCCGCTACTTTTTCACACACTTTGAACACCATGGCTTATACAATGCTGTGGCTAATTTAACGATTTTTTTTTTGTTTTTTAAACAAGCTTCATGCTGCCAAAACATTTAGCCTTGTTACACCTGGGTGCTCACATAGCTGATCAATACATATCTCTCTTGGGGGGGGGGGGGGGGGGGGTCCTTGTGACTCAGTGAGACTACCTGTATATATAAAGGTAAACAAAATAATAAATAAATCTGACCAATGAAATTACCGGACAGGTCACAGTGTGGACCCGTTCCTCCCCGTTGTGCCTTGTGCTTCATTTCTCCCCTCCCTGGGGGCACAACGAAGTATTTGCAGCCACTTGAAATAAGTGTGAACCGTGCATTTAAAATGCAACTTTTGCTCAAGTCTGCCTGTGGATCCTGACAGCGGAGCAGTGTAAAAAAAATCCTTGAAAGGCAGCTGTGTGATGGAGGACAGCACAAGGGGAAGGTGAATAGCAACCAGTGACTTTCTGGTAGGCTGCTGTGTTTATTTATTTATTTTAACCAGCCGTGTTACAGACAATGTTCAGAAAAAAACAAAAAAAACAAAAAAAACATTTACTGTACGTATTTGTGTATGTAGGCTAACAAGCATGGACCGGTGGAATGTCCACAGATCTGGTTGTTTGGATTTGCCATTGAGTGTATGAGCAGAACTGAAGGCAGACTTGTCAGTAAAGTCTGCCTGCCCGAAACAATTGTTCATTTGAATTTGGACTCCCCGCTGGCCTTGGATAGGCTAACTTATCGCAAATTGCTCCTGGAGAATACGTAAACTAAGAAGCTCTTAGTTTACCCCCCGAAGACATTTGTGGCCTTATGAGAATTGTGCCGCTGATAGACGATGTACCATCTTTTCAGAACTTTGGAACTTTCTAGAGTGTCCATGGACAACTCGCCACCTTCTATGCTTAAATGTATTGTGATGTCATTGTATGTTGCTGCTTATGTTGTGAGGTCTTTTTTTTGCATCTTTTACACTGTGCCCCGGCCAGGACCTGGTGTGAGACATTATTTTTTTTAACTTCCTCCACACTCATGTTCTCTTTTCCTCATCTACTCTGTATGTTGTATGTAACAGGTCTCTCTTGTAAATGGGTCCCTGAGGCTCAATGGGAACTAACCTGTATAAATAAAAGTTTAATGAATGAAAAACATGTTACCAGTATGCATTTAATTAAAAGTTAAACAAAAAACCTTTCTGTGTAAATAGCTAATGTCACAACGTGGACACCTGCTTATATATTATATTGCATATATTATATATAGGTGCAGCCTATATATGTACAAAATTATTATTATATGTTGTTTTATTTAGTGGACGCGACTTATATTCGGGCAGCATGGTGGCGCAACTGGTAGAGCTGCTGCCTCTCAGCGAGCAGGTCCTTGGTTCAAACCCCGGTCCAGGGACCTTCTGGGTGGAGTTTCCATGTTCTCTCCGTGCATGCGTGGGTTTTCTCCGGGTGCTCCGGTTTCCTCCCACAGATCAAAAACATGCATGTTAGGCTGATTGGTAACTCTGAATTGTCCCTAGGTGTGAATGAGAGAGTGAATGGTTGTTTGTCTCGTTTGTCTCTATGTGGCCCCGTGATGGACTTGCGACCCAGCCAGGGTGTACCCCGCCCCTCGCACAGTGATTGCTGGACATGGACACCAGCGACCCCCGTGACCCAAAATGGAATAAGCGGGTAAAGATAATGGATGGATGGATGGATGGATGGATGGATGGATGGATGGATGGATGGATGGATGGATGGACTTATATTCGGGTGCGCCCAATCATCCGAAAATTAAGGTAATGCAACTTTTGTGCATGTTCACGTGGCATGGAGGCTGCACAGCTGCAGAAAGAAAAGCTTTGCAGAGAGTGGTGAAGGCTGCACAGAAGTCTGTTGCAGTCAGTCTCCCCATCATCACAGACATCTACACCTCCAGATGCAGGAAGAGAGCCACCTGCATCATGAAGGACCCCACTCACCCAGCACACACACTTTTTGCCTGCTCCCCTCAGGAAGGAGGTTGAGGAGCATTAAGTGTAGAACCACTAGACTGAGGAACAGCTTCTACCCTGAGGCTGTTAGACTCATGAATCTCTAGTCAGGATAATCACTGTGAAAATCACATCATGTTGTTGCTGATCTGTTTCATGTTGATGTGTTCATGCGTGTTCATCTGCTCACACGACTCATGTTCGTGCTGCTGTTCAATGTAATGCTTTTATGCCTATTAGTGCTTAGCGTATATTTAGTTGATGTTTTTCTTAGTTCATATCTTAGATGTTATTACTGTTTTTCTTTTACATTTTATTGTTGGATGTAACTGGGACCCTGTGTACATAATTTCGTTCCACCACATGTACCACATGTGGTGCATATGACAATAAAGAAACTCTGACTCTGACTTGAACACACTCAAGATGTATATTCCATTTTGGATGGGGTGAAACTAGAAGAGATTGAAATAGTTGATCCTGATCAGGATCTTAGTTAAACTGTTGTATTATTTTCATTGTTTTCCTTGTAAGCTAACTATATGTTCGTTGTATTTATATATTTATTGCAAATTTGCATTTACCGGTATTAGTTTCCTACCTTAATTTTAAGCAGTTGTGCCTTCATTTCTTCTCGCTCCTGACGGCACACTTTGAGCATATCTTGCACTTCACTATCCTTCTTCATCCGACTGTCCTCATTGGTGGCCTTCATGTTTCCTAGTTCCTTCTGGTGCACCTCTCTCTCAAGCCTCAGCTGCTGGCTCAGAGCAGATCGTTCTTCCTGCAGCACAGTCAGCTTGGCTCTAAGCTCTGAGGTGCCCTTCTGCAGCTCCTTCCTGGTGATCTCCTCTTCAGCCAGTCGCTGGGATTGCTGAGCGTGTGCTGCCGTCATCTGCTTAAGGGTGGCCTGGAGCTCAGCCTGTGTGTCCTGGTCCCTATGGCAGCGAAGAACCTGAGCATTGACTTGGTCTTTTAACATCTGGTTCTCTTCTCTCAGCCTTGCTTGGATAGCAGCTTGACGCTGAGTCTCCTGCTCCAGGGTGGCCGAGGCCTCCCTCACCTAGGGTTAGAATTCTTGTTTAGTGTCTTATCAACCACTCAAAGTTGTTTTGAGACATTAGTTTTCCACGTTCCAACAAAAAGGGAAAGAATGATGAAATAAATAAACCTGTTTGGGAATTAAATTACTCTTTGAAATATTCCATTGAACTTCAAAGAACAAAGAAAGACTTCTAGAGGCAAACTGTTCAGTGAAGAGCTGACCTGGTCTGTTCTCATCTGAGTTATTTTTAAAGTATTGATGAGCGTTTTGTGTCCGTGGTGGTTGGGGGGAAACATCTATTTCTAGATGTACAGCTACACACCTCTCGTACTTCCTGCTGCAGTGACAACTGATGCTGCTGAGCCTCCAGCAACTCCACGTCCTTGCGGTGGAGTTCTTCTTTGTGCTGGGCCAAACGACCTAGGATTTCGGTGAGCTCCCTGTGGGCCGCCTCAGTCTGCTGGCTCAGCGCCTTCAGCTGGGCCTGTAAGCTCTCCTTCTCCCGGGCTACCTGGAGAGGGAGAGGTATAAAAAAGAATAAAGGATCAAATGAAAGGAGGGGAAAGAGAGGGAGTTCATAGAGGAAAAATGTGAAATGACATGAAAAAAAGAAGATGGGCTACACAGAGCAGCTCTAACAATAATGATGAGGAGTGAAAGAATGAGAGAGATGAAGGAATAGAAACATATGCAGTACCAGCGCTTAGTTGATAGGAAAATGCTAACACTCCGTTTCTGATAAGGAACAATGGTTCAGGTCTGTTTGAGGTAGATTGCTTCTAATGCTCAGGCTTTGACAGGATTTTGCAAAGACTTTGACGCAGCTTAGAGTCTAATCATTTAATTGAGCACTTGATTCTCTCCCCTAATTCATTAAGAGGGCAGGGATAATTAGGGGTCCAAGCCAGCAGACGTAGGGGAATGCAGCTGCAAAGCAACAGCGTTTCCATGCATCCAGGGGAACATGGAACCATATTGAAACTGTTCCGCTTTTATTATTATTTTTATTTTTCTCCTGTAAGTAAGTCATATTGCAGCCTAAACCAAATGGCGTACTGTGAAGATAATTACATGGTGGTTACTATGGCCTGCATGTGCGACACATTTATTGGCATATACCTTCACAATCCTTGGTCTCTATAGAGTCGAATGGTATAGACCACGCCCATTTCCAACATTATTTTACTAATTTGTAAAGTTTGCGAAAACTACGTTTGACTTTTTCGCAAATGTTTCAAGTTCAGTTGCCATTAAACACTCGAACTTAAATCTAGATAGTGGGTTGAAAGTAGGTTCTCAAGGAAAAGTAGTTAGTTTAGAAAGCAAGTAAGTTATGCCTAGGCAAAGAGTTTTAGAAAGCTAGCTAAAGATAAATTCAGCCAAATCTTTAAAGTAATAATAGATGATATCATGAAATTCATACTACCGTTATAGGAGCCAATTATGAATTAATGGACCAGATTTCACAAACACTGAGCTATAAGTAGTGCTATCAACCATAGAAATTTTTCCCACAAAAAAGGTTGATTGGATATTTATGAATTTTTGCACTGACTTTTAGAACAATGCCTTTAGTGTACACCAAAAAGTTAATTACGTAAAAGTAAAGTGGGTGAGGCCTATATAGTCTTAAAGAAAAAATGTCACAAAATCAGGCACGGAGTCTAAACTGTTAAGATATTTTAAGAAGTATTTCATTGAAAAAATAAAGTATGCTAACTGCTATTAACTAGAAATACCTACATGTGCACGTGTGTGCATTTGTACATATATATATATATATATATATATATTTTTTTTTTATTTTTTTATTTTTTTTTTTTATTATTTATTAGGAGTGCACTGATAAATCGGCCGGCCATGATTTCCTTAATTTCGGGAAATTAAAATCAGCCGATACTTGCATGAGAAACCGATTTTAACAATTTTTTGTAGTTTTAACAACAATTATCTGAACTACATTTATGTTTCAGAGCACTACCTCATGGCCAGTTAAAACAAATTTGTATTGTTTCTAGGATATTGATCAAGGGTATGTTTTTCAATAAAATAATATTGGAAAATTGAAGGAGTATTGTGACCATATAACACCTGACAGAGTCGCTTATAAAACCAAATCGGTATCGGCCAAAATCGAAATTGGCAGAGCAGACATTTTAGAAATCAGTGATCGGCCAGAAAATGTTGGTTACGTACTGTAACCCCAGATTCTATGAGTATAGGCGCAGCCCTTTAAGGCTATCGCTAGTGGGTTTATCCTGTCGCGCACAGCGCAGCACTGAAAACTTTAGTCCACGCACACCGGCTGTGTGGGCCCCACCCCCGGTCCGTATAAATTACGGTAAGATCGGGCAATCAGCTCTCAAAAAGCTTTTTTTTCTTCAGCCATTTAGGAAGCATTGAGGCCCAGAGCTTAAAGGGCTGCGCCTATACTCAGAATCTGGGGTTACAGTACGTAACCAACATTCTATTTCGTATAGGCTTCACCCTTTAAGGCTATCGCTAGTGGGTTAAAGGCAAAGCAGGATATAGTCTATGCCTTACTGGGTCCATTCAGACACAAACAAGAAGCACCTGCTTGCACAAAAAAACCATTTCATCACTCAGCCTTCTGTGTGCGTAATTACGCGCTGCGTAATTGCGTGCTCCATGTGCAGGAGCGCACCGGAGAAAAGATCTCTGGTGAGGAAAAAGGCTGAAATAGCAGACCTGCAGCTGTGAATAGGAACAACGGAGGATAAGAATTGTAACAGTGTAACGATGAACAGAGCAGACCAACAGCTCCTCAGGATGAACCAATCAATAAAGATAAAATCAGTAGTCATGAACTTGTGGCTGATAATAAATATCTCACACTGCAACTGCATGCAGGCAGGTGTGAGCTCAAAAGTGAGGCTCCATGAAACAAATAATAATAATTCTGTCAGAACACTGAGAACAGAATGGGTCATGGAGAAAGTAGAAACATCATGTAGATAAAAACGAATAATTGAACATGGCGATGACCAGGCAGCCGCCATACAAATATCCTCCACTGTCATCCCTCCTTGCAGACCCATGGAGGATGAAAACCCTCTGGTGGAATGTGCTGAGATTCTCTAGAGGATCCAGTCCAGATGAACTGTAAGCTTCAGAAATAGCCTCACACAACCAGTGTGAGAGGCGCTGGGTGGATAGAGGGCGTCCTGAAGAGCTGTCCCTGTAAAGCACGAACAGACGCTGAAAGCGGCGCAATGCGGCCGTGTGCGCCACGTAACACGAAAACGCGCGCATGGGACAGAAAGAGGTGAGATGTTCCTTCCTCCTCAGAATTATGAGGAAGAGGACAAAACCCATGCAAGGTTATCACTCTCGATCTGAATGAGCTTGTGATGCTTTTCAGAGCAGGGTTAAAACGCAGTACAGCTGAACTGCCGTCAGCTTGAATTCTGAGACATGAGGGAGCAACAGAGAGAGCAAATAATCACTCACTCTCTTTGCCGACATCAGAATTAACAGCAGGGCTGTTTTAAATGACAGAAATATAAGTAAAACCTGATCTAAAGGCTCAGAAGGAGCTTTGATCAGAGCGTGCTGGAGCATCATTAGGTCTCTCTGTGAAGCTAGTGGACGTGACACAGGTCTGTGTCTCTGTACACCTTACAGAAAACGCTTCATCAGCAGGTGGTTAAGAACTGTTCTGTCACTGAAAAAACTCATGACAGGAAGAAATCGCTCAGCAAAAGTTTTAATTGTGCTGAACGCTAAATTTCTGTCCATCAGTTGCTGTAGAAATGACAGCACGCCACCTAGTGGACATGAGATGGCCTCCACGCCTTTATCTGCGCACCAGCACTGAAAAACTGTCCACTTGATGTGTACAGCGTTGTGGAGGAAGCAGCTCGTGCGCCCTGAAACATACGCACCACATCCTGGGGGAGGCCCATCTTTTCTAAACGGATCCGTTCAGCAGACAGACCCAAAGATGCTGATCTATTTCCGAGTAACTCCTGATCGCTCTTCCTGCCTGGAGGAGAGCGCACCCCCACAGCAGTTTCCACGGCCGACCCGATATCAGTCGCTGCAGATTCGGGAACCACAGAGCGCTTATGCGTTCGGGAGCTACGAGGATGACTGACGGTTCTTGCTCCCGGACCCGGTCCAGGGTCCGTGATATCAGCAGGACTGGAGGGAACGCATAAAGGAGCATTTTTGGCCACGGGCTGTGAGCAAAGGCGTCCACTCCTAATGGTGGGTCATCTCGTGGGCTCAGTGAGAACCATAATTGACACTGGGCTTTCTCCCGTGTGGCGGACAGATCCACTGCTGCTTGGCCCAACCTGCTCCAAATCCGAGAAATCAGCTCGGGATGGAGGCTCCAGTCTCTGTGGCGGGGACTGCCCCTTGACATGATATCCGCTCGCCTGTTCAGAACACTGGGAATGTACACTGCTCTGATGGAGAGCAGGTTTTTGTGTGGCCAACACAACAGCTGTTTAGCAATGCATAACAGTTGGGCTGAGCGCACATCTCCCTGACGGTTTATGTAAACTGCTGTCACCTTGTTGTCTGTGTGGATCAGAACATGCTGATCCCACAGCAGGGGCAAAATGCTGAGTTACGTTTCAGACCGTGAAACATTCTAGCACATTTATGTGAAGCAACATGTGGTCCAGCCACTGTGCTCCCACTGCTTGGGACAGACACATCCCTCCCAGCTTGACAGGAAAGCGTCTGTGAAAACTGAGACGTGTGACGTAGGCCTGCTCCCTCTGACAGAATGAGAGGGTTTCGGTTCTCACGGAGGGGGGCACAAAGATGATCCACCTCTTCTGGAACACAGGATCTATGCGCAGGTGGGCGAACCAACTCTGAAGGCGTCTCATGTGAAGTAGGCCCAGCAGAACCACGATGTGGGCCACTGACATCGTCCCAGGAGTTGCATGACAGGCAGAACTGTTACTATGCAGCAAGGTTTGACACGGCGGAGCTGAGCGGACAGAGCTTCGGCTCTCAGCTGTGATAAACGGGCTCTCATTGTGGTTGAGTTTAGCTCCACTTCCAGATAAACAATCCTCTGGGACGGACGAACTGAACATTTTCCCAGTTTATAGAAAACGCCAGGTTTAGCAGGTGTAACACTAGCGTTTTGGTCTATGCGACTGCTTCCTATGTGGACCGAGCTAATAAAAGCAGATTGTCCAGATAAAAATAATTCTCATTCCTGCCATGTGTAAAAACTGCAGAGCCGTCTCCACGCGTTCGAGAATGTGCATGGGGTGTTTCAGAATGATGGAAAATGTGAAAAAATGCGCCCTTCAGATCTATGGAGGTGAACCAATCGTTCTGGTGAAGTTCTCCAGCAGCTGTTTGAATTGTCAACATGTGGAATTGTCTCCCCATGATCGAATTGTTGAACATGAACAGGTCAAGAATGGGTCTCATCCCTCTGTTTTTTTTTTTCAGAACCAGGAAGTAGTGGGAGGAAAAAAAACACCTGTATTTTCCTCTCCGTTGGGAACTCAGGAAATC